TCCCCTCCTCACCCCCTTTCCTCTCTGTTGTGGCGCTGAAGCAAACGAGGGGCCCCGGGGACGTGGAGGGACCCTCCTGCCTCTGCCTGCGGAAACGGACGGCGCAGCCTCGCGGCACGGGCGCTCCGGGCACCTGTCCGGTGCTTTTTGTGCAAAGGCTGCCTCTTCCCTTGGGAGCCACAAGCGTCCTTGTTTGCAGCTGCTGCTCTTTGAATTGACTCTCCTTTGCCTGGTGACCAGACGTTCAAGCCATAGTTTCACCAGTGCCAGAAACCAGTCAGCAAATTCCTCCTGTCTGCAATGGAAACCTTGTCCCACAGTCACATTTGCCTTTTTCTGTATCTGTGTCATGCAGCATAACCCACCCGCGTCCTTCTCCATCATCCCAGTGAGTCACCAGTTTACAGCAGAAATTCCTATTTGTAGGTATGTCCTGCTCTGCAAAACCTGCTGATCTGGCAGCCTCTGTCCCCACAGGAGATGCACGTGGGTGACTGCTCATGTCTGTTGGGCTACTAGGCTTTATGTTGCACCTAAAAATTACCAAAATATCTCTGTTGATGTTGTAAAGTAATAATGAAGTTTTCAAATTATTTCTTCTGAATTCAGGTCTTTTACCTGAAGCCAGAAAAGTTTCTTAAAAGGCAGCAAGACTTTTCTAATCAGATTTTTTTTTTCCTAGTGAGTGACTCACAGGGGGATAGTTTCTGAGTTCAGGAAAAAGCAGAAAGTGTCATGCAAGCTAGGGAAGAGTAAGAGTAGCTGTTTGTTTTGATGTTTTCGGAGGTTGCACCCTGTTGGCACTGAGCATAGTAATGCATTCATGCCGGAAAAAGGAGTTTATTCATGCTGACAAAGTGATAACAGGCCAGTGTGGCTTTACAACCTGACCATCCGAATAATTCCCATGTTGCCTCCTCCCGAGGCTCTGGTATTACGGAAAAACTCCTTCTTCTGTTACTTGAAAGCTAATGGCTGGAGCTCTTTACCTGATGCTCTGATGTCCTACAGTTGTCGATCTAGGTGCAGAAACTTCAGTGTTGTGCATAGGATAGGGAAGAGCAGCAAGCTATGGCTCTTATATCATAATCTAGTGTGTTATCCTTAGCCAAAGGGCTCTGTTTGAAACCTGGCATCAGTGTATACAGAACATGTTGCATCTTTGCTGGTACCTCGTCAATCTAGTTTGCAAGACATCCTGGAGGATGTGACCTTGGAAGGCAGGCGGGATATCGACCCTGCATAATAATAGCATCTCGGCATCACTGGCAGCCTGTTGGATTCAGGGCAGTTAATAAATAATGAGGATGTCAAAGATAACAGCAGGAAAGTGGGAGCAAGTAACAACTTTACAGCCAGCTTTCTGACAGCCGCCTGGCAACATCCAATTAAAAGCACGCCCCCATCCAGAGGAGCAGGGCGCGGGTCCAGCGCCGGACCCGCTGCGGCGCTGGGATGCTGGCGGGATGCAGTGGTCTGAAGACACCCCGCAGCGCCCCAGGGTGCAGCACTGTGGCCCCAGGGCGCGGGGGAGCAGGTGAGCCAGGGGCTGCGGGTCTGCTGGCAGTACCCTGACACCGTGGAGGAGGGCTGTGCTGAGGCCAGGGCTGCACCAGTGCACGGGCAACACTGGGCCAGGGCTGTGATGGAGCCAGGGCCAGGCTGGAGCAAGAGCTGCACTGGAGCAAGGGCTGCACAGGGGCCAGAGCTGCACAGGCACAAGGGCTGCACCGGCACAAGGGCTGTGCCAGAGCAAGGGCTATGCTGGAGCAAGGGCTGCACCAGTGCACGGGCTGCACTGGAGCAAGGGTTGCACTAGATCCAGGGCTGTGCCAGAGCAAGGGCCGCATCAGGGCCAGCGTTGCACAGGGGCCAGGGCTGCACTGTAGCAAGGCTGCGCTGGAGCAAGGGCTGCACTAGATCCAGGGCCATGCTGGTGCAAGGGCTGCACTGGAGCAAGGGCTGTGCTGGTGCAAGGGCTGCACAGGGGCCAGGGCCGCACTGGTGCAAGGGCTGCGCTGGGCCTGGGGGCCCACGCGCGAGGCCAGACCCGTGGTGCAGCCAGTGCCTGCCTGCTCCAGGCTGGCGAGAGGAGCACTTCCCTCCCCAGTCCGTGCTGGGAACACGGGAGCCTTGTGGCTGGCTCCTCTGGACTAAAACAGACAGATATTTGTCTGAAGGGCCGGGTTGCATTGTAGTATAATCATATAACTCAAACATTAGAAATCTGACTGAATTTGAGATGTAATTGATCTTCTGATGACTTTTTAAACATCTGGTGAGAAGGGACTGCTTTCCAAACAGCAAAATCTACACCAAAATGATCTTGATTTGAATAATAAGTATTCCGTCCTTGTTTGGTAAATATACCCAGTGTTAACGGTGCTTAATGGTGCCTGTAATTGGTGTCTAAAGTTATTTAAAAGTAAATTTACTAGAAAATAATTAGCAATTTTATAGTTCACTACTTCCTAATTTTGTTGATAAAAGTTTTTCCGTGGTTTTATCAGATGACACAATAAGGCCGTGCTATGAAATAGCTTTTTTCAAACTGGCAGGGAATTGCATGCACAAAATAAAATAAAAACATTTTCCCCCTAATTTCTTTCCCTGGCAGCCAGCCCCTCTCGCTCTCCTTTTATTATGCAGTGATTTATCTTTCATCAGCAGTGAGTGATGCTCTCCTGGCGCGGTGCGG